ATAATATTTCCTATATATAGACCTTTGATAAAATGAATCTAAAACGATAATAATAATAATAATATCAATTATAACAACGACAATAATAATAATAATAATAATAATAATAATAATAATAATAATAACAATATCATTATAATTAACGAAGTAGGGATCGGATTAAACCAAATGGGCAAACACAAGTTGGACAACATTATTATTCCCAATGTTGACTTGAGAATAAAATTGAGGCTTAGTGCGCCAAACAATTACTTCTTCAATTTTAGACATAGCGCGGAAAACTTAGCTCAGCTGGTCGAAAGAGTAGTACTATTAATTATAATTTTCATTTTGATTTCTAACAACTGTGATAAAAAATAATCATTAATTTTTATATTAAATTGAGATTAAAACTAAACTTATTTTTTCTTAGCGTCGAATTCGCATCGATATTAGGGAGACTCTGGATGAAAGTTTAAAAGTATTTTTCAATTTTAGAATGAAGAATCATATCCTTTGTGTAGTACCCACTTGACATATAGAGTAAGCAGTATTGTTCTCAAATGCCAGAATTTCAACCAAAAAAGAAGGCCTAATTAATTGACAAGCTAGTATAGGTTAGTTGGTAGTAGTGGTTTCCATATATAGGGCTACTATATTCTACTATCTCGCCCCTAAATTAATTACTCCGTAGGTAGTATGGATTTTTGGTTTCATAAAATTTAAGAAAAATATTGGGATAAAAAATTATATGGTTACAAATTGTTGGAAGTCCTAGAAAAAATTAAATGGTTAGAAATTGTTGGAAGTCCTAAAAATAAACGTCTACGACTCTACTTATCAGCTTAATTTTTTTGTTAGGAAATGAATCTCAACTTTATCCATACAAGTGATTAGTTTTATTCGACACTTTGTTCGTTTTTCATGGTCTACTAGAATCTTAACATGATATCTGAAAAAATTATTTGGAAAGAAATTCTTTGTATTTCTCTCTTGTGAAACTTGTTTTTGAATACAAAGATCTAACCCTCTTTATATAGGAAGATGGTAAAATAAACAAGGAAATTTCTATTCTTACTAAAATAAGAATTAAACAAGCTAGGAAAGATACTAAATACTAAACCCAATTCAACTAGGAAAAATACTAAACCTAATCCCAAAGGGATTCGGTTTCCTTCTTCTGTCTCGAACACTTTCCTTCTTCAATCTTGTTTCCTTCTATTATCTCTAACACCCCCCTCAAACTGGAGCATGGGAGTTCAACATGCCCAGCTTGGACATAAATGAAAAAAACGTTCCCTCGGTTCGCGCATATGTGCAAGCTTCTCTGGTAGGTCCCACGTGCCATTCCTACACGTACAAATTGGGAACTGCTCCAAACTTGCAAGAAACGTTCTCTCGGTTCGCGCATCTGCGCAAGCTTCTCCCGCAGGTTCCCACGTGCAATTCCTACACGTACAAATTGGGAACTGCTCCAAACCACAGAAACTGAGCAACGATCGATGGATGCGATGCCGGGCGATCATGAACAGTAACTGCAATCAAGAGAAACTGTCGTCGAGACGGTCGACCCACTCGACCGTTCTTCAGCAACGGTCGACCGTTCCGGCACTTCGGCAGCAACAACAGGCGACGATCGATGGACGCGATGCCGGTCGATCGTGAACAGTAGACGCGGAAAGAGTTGTTTGTCTCCGTAGAACAACCCTTGTCGGACCACTTCTTCAAGAATGAGGGAGGACAGTCAAAAAAATCACAATATCCCGCCGGTAGGCATTGAATTGTGTATGCCCACCGGCAGGGGAAGAAGCGTGTTTGAGGTCTCAAGAATTCAAAACTGGCTCCGATACCATGAAAGAATTATTTGGGAGGAAATTCTCTGTATTTTTCTCTTGTGAAACTTGTTTTTGAATATAAAGATCTAACCCTCTTTGTATAGGAAGATGGTAAAGTAAACAAGGAAATTTCTATTGCTACTAAAATAAGAATTAAACAAGCTAGGAAAGATACTAAATACTAAACCTAAATCATCTAGGAAAGATACTAAATCTAATCCCAAAGGGATTCGGTTTCCTTCTTCAATCATGCTTCCTTCTTATGTCTCGAACACTTTCCTTCTTCAGTCTTATTTCCTTCTTTTATCTCTAACAGTATCAGAGCATGTCCGTTCAATTCTTTTTTGTTGTTTAGATGTGGGTTAGGTTTAACCATGTGAGCTATCGGTTTGTGGTTTGGATAGAGTGTGCTATAAGAGATCTAGATGTCATCGTACGTTATGTGGAATAAATTATAATAAGATATTGAGAGGTTAAGACTCGTTGGTCTACTAGGTCTGGCTAGTTCTACCACTTGATGGGGAGTGTTGAGGTTTTTCATTTTGAAAAAAAGAATAATATACAACCAGAATATATATAGAAGGATGCATTTCCGATGCTCTACTCGTTTTTCTCGACCTACTGAAATTTTAATAGTCTGTCTTTTTTAAACGTATTCTTATTACTTATTTTAATGGAATCAGATCAATGAGATCAAGCCAAACCTGATTTCAAATAATTTTAATTGTAACTACAAACAGATTTGATTAATTCAAATTAAATCGGACTAGATCATACAAGATCTGATCTGATTAGACCATAATAAAATCAGATGAGACGGAAAGAACACGTTCTTAGACTTTTCTTTTAGGGTCTATTTGGTATACGGAATTGATGCAATTGGAATTGAATTGGAATTGAAATTCCAAGAGATTCAATTCCATAGAATTGAATTCACTAATTTTCATTTATTTTTTGCAGTATCAATTCCAAATCTACCTAATTTTTGTGCTACCAAACACCAAAATTAGAATTGAAGGCTTCAATTCCAATTTCATAGTTTGAATTCCGTGTACCAAACGGAACCTTATTGAAATTGTTTATTTCCTTCGTTCATGACGATATCAACTTGTTGCGAAGCCATGGCATCTTTTAATTCTATTTCTATCTCTTTTGTTTCTGGCGGTTCGAATATTTTGCTCACACAAAATATTTTGTGGTGTTTGGAATTCTTTTTGTGGTGTTTGGAATTCTTTTCCATCTGTCCAGTGACCAATTCAACTTGCATTGGGGTAAATACAACTAAGGTACCTACATAATGAAATGTTACAAGTTACGTTAAACTAACATTTAAAAGTCAGAGACCTTGTTTAATAATACCAAGATGACTTTTAACTTTTTTAAATGTGAAATCACAAATTTTAGGGAGAAAGACCAAAGTATAACTAAAACATTGAAAATATATTAAAATAGTATTTTTATATTTTTATTCCTGACAATCCGACATATGATTTAAAATGCATTACCAAAAAGTATAGTAATTTGCACATGTACAGTGTCATATTATCGTGCAAAGTCCTATTTCGAAAATAAAAACATGAAAGTCTTATTTTGGTACTTTTATCAATATTTTAGTCTTATTTAGAGTGATTTCTACAAGTTTTATCTCTAGTGGACATAATAATCCCAATGTTTTTTTAAATTGGGAAAATATATAAAAACAAATACTGCAATTATTACAAAGTTCTTAGTGTTAAAAAAACTCACTTTTAAAAAGAATTGAAGTGTGAGCTAAAAAGAGTTAGATTCAAGAAAATATACACTTTCTAGTAGAATCAATTACGGAGTAAATTATAAAATTGTAATTAAAGTTAAATTGTAATGTTATTTAAATTGAAAAAAAACGATCCAAGTAGTAATATTTTATTAAAAAGAATTGCAATGTCACAACCCTTGGGATTTTTCAAAATGCTACTTCCGTCTGGTTTAACATTATTGGGTAATTTACCTAAATAGGACTAAAACATAATGACTTTCTCAATATAAGACTATATGTTTTTTTTCCCAATGTAGGACCTTTTGTCATTATCAAGTAGCCATTATTCAACTAAATGTCCATCATTACTAGGCATTATTCCTTCCACTAGGTCATTATTAAGTCCTATTTAAGAAATAAAAAAGTTTAAGTCCTACATTTAGAAAGTCATTATGTTTTAGTCCTATTTAGTGCAAATTTCACAAATAAATGATGATGATACTCATTTATGATAACCCTCCCTATTATACGCTCTCAAAAAAAATTATCACAATTTAGTTTTTATCAACTATAAAATATAAAAATATATATTTAGTTATAATATAAATTTAAAAAAATATGGTTCATTTCAAAAATAATTTCAATATATCAAAATATTATACTCCACATTTAATTATTTAAACTCATATTTAGACTGTGCTCAAAGTAATGCATAGTTTGACAAAAAATTCAAACTTTAAACTTTTTTCTTATAATCAGAGTTAAACTACATTTTATTATAATCCGGTCATAACTGTTTTAAAAAATTTTTTTAGAGCATATAAATTTTATTTTTTTATTTTTTAACTGAAATAAGTGGCTAAATACAAACCCCTTTTCATTAAGCATTCCTTTTATGTTAAATAGACAATTTTTTATAGAGTGATACTTACATGGTCATGTAAACCTTTTTTTTTATTTTTCATTAATTTGCATGTGGATATTTTTTTTGCAATGATGCCATTTTTAATCCTACAAATGTACTAAAATCCGTAAAATGAGCATAAACATCAAACTCACATAAGAAATTACCTATTTTAAAAGGCATGTAGGTAATTTTTAAATGTGATGAATTTAACCAACAAAGAGAGGGTATAATTATCAGTCCGGTTCCAGTGACAGCGGAGAATGGTGCCACTAGCGGTGGGTTACGGCGGGGTTGGGGTGGGGGTGCNTTGGGGATAGGAACCGTCAATTTTACGAACGGAACACCGGAGATGTCCCAAAAATCTAGTGGCACCGCTAGTGGCACCATTCTCTGGTGTCACTGGAACCGGACCGCATAATCATTAATTAAGCTCAAGGATAGCTAAAATGAAGAAATAACAAAACAAAATGAAGGGTCTATTATTCTACGGAGTATTAACAACGGAACGGGTACGCACATAAATAAAACGAAATATAATTAATCACAACGGAGGGACTAATTATTAATTAATGATCTATTAGGGCGGCCAGGCTTCGCTGCAATTGCCAAAAACTCCATTGCAGTGGGGCCCCCCTTTTACATCTCACCTATCTTTAATTTCTTTTTTACCTAATTTTTCGAATTTTATATTTTACAAAATGAAATTAAAGAGATGCCCAGTCAATCTCATGCGAGGGGTATTTATGTAAATCCGATGACATGTCCCAAGTTGTTGATTCCTCGCCCGTGAATTCCGGGAACGTTAGATCCGAAACAGGCGAAGACCCGCCCGACCCGTAACTGTAGTAACCACCTTCATCCGCCGCCTTGCCGTCCTCCTCCTCTTCCTCTTCGTCTCCGGCGGCCGCCTCTTCTTTCACCTTGCGCTGCCGCTTCGATGATGAAGACGAAGAAGGCGACGACCGCTTTGAGTTCTTCGGGTCAACGCCCTGCCCCTCAGCCATGTTCTTGCAGATGGCTTGGAGCTTGGCGTCCACGGCGGAGTGGAGCGGCCGGAACTCCCCGAGCCCGGCTCCGTTCTTGCGGAGGTGCGGGAAATTGAGCCGCGCCGAGTCGCCCCTGAGCTGGAACGCCGCCTCGTCGTAAGCCATGGCGGCTTCCTCCGCCGTGTCAAAGGTTCCCAGCCAGAGGCGGGCACGGTTCTTGGGCAGCCGGATCTCCGCCACCCATTTCCCCCAGTGGCGCTGCCGAACCCCTCTGTAGAGCTTCGTCGCCGGCTGCGGTTTCATGGGAACCGCCTTGGGGCCCAAGAAGCTGAGGTTATGGGCCGGTTGCTTGGACCACTGGGCTTGAAACGGCCCAAAATCCGACATCTGTTGCTGCTGGCGATTGACCTGAGCCTGGATCTGCTGAATCTGGGCCGCCGTCAACTGGTTCAGCCCAATCCCGCGCGGTTGCTCGAACCCAAACCCCGAAATCCGCTGGGGGAGCAAATCGGCGCCGGAGGTGGAACATACTCCGTCAGAGCTCCTAACTGGGTGGTAAGAAATGGAGGGAGAAGAGAAAGAATATGGAGGTGGAGGGTAAAACGGGGATATTTCAGAGTGAAAAAGAGAAGAAGCCGGCGGAGGCGGCGGCGGAGGAGGAGGAGGAGGAGGGGGAAGGGGAGAAGCGGTCTTGATCAAAAAAGGCTCAAGCGCTTCCATTAGCTCGCCGCCGCCGCCGCCGCTGAACGGTTCACCTACTGCCGAACAACTATTTCTCCACATTGAAAACTATTTATATATACTAAAAAAATCAAATAAAAGCCACCTGTTTCTTACCAAAAATTAAGAACAGAGTGGGGAATAAAAAATTTTTTAAAAAAGAACAATTTAAAAAACTAAAAAAAAAACTGGGATTTTCAAATAACAACCCTTTCGAGGGACGACAAATAAGCCCTCTCTATGATGATTTTGACGAAGAAAAGGAAAAGAAAAAGAGAAAAATCATGAAAAAACCAGTTTAAAAAAGCAGGGAAAATGTAGAAAGGGGTAAAACAGAGAAGAGAAAGGAGGGGGGGAGAAAAACAGAGTGAGGTGTGTGCAAGTGCGAGGAAGAAATGGTGTGTGAATGTTTTGATTACCTCTCGGCCTCACCTTTTGAGGGGACTTTGTGGTGGTGAAACAAGGGGGCTTTTTATAAGGGACTCCTTAACCATGGTTACTTTGTCCCCTCCTTTTCCTTTTTCTTTTTCTTTGGGTTCCCCTTAACCCACGTTAACCTCACTTGTTTCTCGTGTTTGGTCTTCTCCCCCACCCATTACATCACCTATTTCTTCCAAGCTACACCAACCGTTATGTTCACACTCTCACAAATAAAAACAGAATAAATTTGTTCCTTTTGTCAATGGTTCTGTGATTGAGTTTTAATTTATTTTCTCTCGTTTAAACGTCCGACACGTTTTAGAAGACATCTTTGCGCATGGACTCGTCCTTGTTTTAGAATGAGTCAGCACGATCTATAGTTCAAGTGATCAATAAGAATGTAAAAGAGTGTTTTGATCAAGTTTGACATATATTCTAAGCGGTGGCAGAGCTAGGATCCAACACCGGTGGGTGCAAGGCATAATTAAAGTTACAAGTCAATTAGTCTAGCCATTTCCAAAGGCGTTTAAATAAAATTCGTTTCATAGGTATTTTATCGAACACATGGTGTACTATAATATATATACAATTGGCATATTTGGCCAGGAATTGATAGGGAGAATGTTAGGGGTGATAGAAAATGATAGCTAGGAACTCTAGGCCCAAACTGAAAATTGTGTATGTATGTAAACAGCCATACCCAATGTAGAGTGACTCTAATTGTAGTCATTTGTTCTTATTTGGCTCCGCCCATGATTCTAAGTAGTATAGAATATTAAGATGTACACAATTTTTCTTAGACTTTAAATCTATACATATTTTGTGAATTTTGATTATGAGCCGTATATATAAAAAGAGATTCAGTTATGAACTAATGGAAAATAAATCGAAGATCTACATTTTACATTTAAATCTTAAGAATATAATTACACAATTCTTATATATTTAACATAAGGTATTTGGCTATTTGCTTGAATCAGAGATATATCGATTCTCATATCTTTTAAATAGGATTCGATTTCAAAACGGTGTTCACTCATATTTAGAAATGTCCAACGGTAACGGTGTTTAGGAAACAAAAACATCAGTTATCAAAAAAATGGAGACTGAGTTTTACTAGTCTTAGCTCTTCTTAACCAATTGGAGGACGACAAGTGTTATTTATGGTAACGCGTCATTTTGCGGATGACATCTGTCAGTGATAACGTTGCCGTGTTGACTTGACTGAGAAGGCTCTTGCGCAGTTCACACCTTAATTTGCTCGCCGTCTCCTTTTGGGCCGTTAAATCGCTTTGTCATTTTCGTCTTTTTCTCCTCATATTCCTCCAGCATAAAACGGCAATTGGAATTTGGAGTGTTACTTGTCAATTGATTCCACCTTTTTGCTTTTAAAGAATTAGGAGAAGAAATATGAAGTGTGTATGCATGCTACTTTTTTTAAAAAAATAATTAAAAAAAGCTTTAAGGCCCCGTTTGATACATGAAATTCAAACTGTGGAATTAGAATTGAGAACTTCAATTCCAATTCTGGCGTTTGGTAGTACAAAAATTATGTGAATTTGGAATTGATAGTGAATAAAATGAATTGGAACTGACAGAATTCAATTCTATAGAATTGAATTTCATGGAAATTCAATTCCAATTCTGTTAATTTCGTATACCAAACGGATCCTAAAGAAATTGTGAATTAAAATTATTCCACTATTTGTGTTTTAGGATGATAATAATCATCAATTTAACAAATAAAATTTACATGTGCTCTAAAATAAGAGAGTGTCGTCGGATCACATAAGCCCCCGACATCGTCGGATGACATTGGCCTCCGGTGTCATCCAACTTTTCCATTGTTATATCTAGAGAAAAAAGTAATTCAATTATATGGTTTTTTTTTTTACTTTGCTAGGGGGACACCTCACTTTGACACCATTGTGATGCCATAATTTTGTACAAACAAAAAGTATTCTTTTACCATAACTCTCTTGGAAACTTGGAAGTTGATGCACAAGTGTGCAAGCTGGATGTGTGTAGGGACAAAATGAGCTGAATGCATTAACGATCAATATCACAATCATTATTAATTTGCCTTCATGCATTAATAAAATACTGGATGTCACAAAAAAATAGAAGACCTAATTTTAATACTCGCTAACAGAGCATCTCTTGTTAACAAGAGGCCCAGTTTGAATCACTGTATTTGTAGATTATTCGCTGTCTAAACAAAATCTCTAACTAAGATGATGAGTTTTGATGTAGCACAAGACACACATGCATAAATACGTGTAATGTAAATGATCAAGATACATACAGAGCTTAAAAGAAATGAGAGAGGCGTGCAACAATACGTTTGTAGTGACCAAGATCACAAAGTCAAAAGACATGCCTCGTGGAAAATATCCAAATGCATATATGTGTTGGCTTATAATACATGTACTCGGTAAGGTACGAGCACAACAATACCAAGAAAAAACTACATAGGCCCCAAGTCCTTCAAATGAAAACAAGTATATGCAAATAACGCTTCAAAATCGTTAAAATTATTCCACGTCCGATCTGGAAATCATTTGGATATCGAAAATTTCAGACCAGATCAACAAATTGCAAAACATTAATATTTATTTTATTTTATTTTTTGATTAAAGGTTGTACTCATCAATTAAGTATTACGCTTCATCATATCCGTCCTAACCTTAATCTAAAAACACTACTTATAAACCACTCAAATCGTAAAAGGCGTTTGTAACTTTGAATGCTCTTAAACTCTTTCTGTAACACACTTGATGTATAAATTGGGGCATAATATTGATGTGCTCATCGTACCCGTTTTTCCAACATAATTAGACCATATATGTTTTTTTGAGTTTGAAATTCAAAGTTTGGTGTTAGAAGAAACTAGAAGTTGAAAGAAATTACAAGGAATTTGAAAAAAACTTGGATCTAGATACATAATTAAAGAGTTAAAAAGTCACTCAGTTGAATAATTACTCAGATAAAAATTCAAGAAAACTCCCATTTTGGATTTAAAAAAGCATGATTGTCGTCCTTGTTTAAGGTAATGTATTATAAAATTAGATATGTAATGTTATTGCAGTGTGTGCATGTAGAAGCTGATTTTTCCATCTAAGGGAACGTCAATATTCAATTCTGTTAGCGGATATTTGTAATTAGAAGTAGATATTATGTTATTGGGCCTGTACTTGTAGCCCATTTATGTACTTGTATATATATCGGTTTATGATTAATAGAAAATACATCAGTTCCGCAAAAATTTTACATGGTATCGGAGCCAAACCTAGGGCTTCTTATCGTTTCTGCTCTCCGGCGTCCAACGCCGTATTTTTTGTTCTTCGCCGATCAGATTCCTCCTCTCCGACGGAAGGTCTAACTTCAGGATTGTGCGCTGTCGCTTTCGGAAAGCTTAGCCAGTATTTACTCCCGCAATTTCCCGATTGAGAGTTGACCACGACATCTCTGTTCCGTGAGGTTAGTCGGCATCTCGTGTGTTGCTGCTGTTGATCGCCCGGTTAGTCGGCATCTCGTGTATATGTCGCTGCGAATTGATTCTTTTTATTATTATTGACTGGTTTTGCTGCCAATAATTGCATCTATTGATTAAGTGCCACTGTACTGTCCATCTTGGCTAATATTTCCTGCGGTGATATTCATCAAACCTTCTGCCAAAATTGCCCTTTGTTGATTGTGCTGCTGCTGCAATTATTTGTTCTTGATTGTACACTCTCTTCCTCGGATAAGGTACAAGGTATGTCCCTTAGTGTGTCCTATGAGTGGCTTGTGGACAGTGGTGCATCTCATCATATGACAGGAACAATTTCGTGTTTGTCTAACATAGTGCAAAGGCCTCCTTGCACTATAAGTTTGCCTGATGGGGCTCATGTGGTGGCAAATTCTTGTGGTCGAGTACAAGTGTCTCCTTCTTTAACTTTACATAATGTTCTTTATGTTCCTAATTTGAAGTGCAATTTGATATCAGTGAGTTATCTTGTCAACTCACATAACTGTCATGTTTTCTTTGATGATCATTCTTGTGTGATACAGGACCGAACTACGAAGACGCGGATTGGTCAATGTGAAGCACGCAACGGGGTCTATGTCTTTCCTTCTCAAGCCCAAGCGTCCAAAGCCGAGTCTGTTTCCTTATTACACCAACGTCTTGGTCATCCGTCTCCTCAAGTTTTGTCTCTACCTCCATTTAATAAGAGTACTACTGAAATTAAAAATTTTCAGTCTTGTGATATTTGTTTCTTTTCCAAACAGACACGTTCCCAATTTTCCCCTAGTCTTAATAAAGCAGATGCATTGTTTGATCTTATTCATTGTGATTTATGGGGTCCATATTCTGCTTGCATATCCACTGGGGCTCATTACTTTCTCACCATTGTTGATGACTATTCTCGAGCTGTTTGGGTATTTCTTATTATTGACAAAAGTGAGGTTACCAGTTGTTTGAAACAATTTTTTACCATGATTCGAACTCAGTTTGGTAAAATAATTAAGGTTGTGCGCTCAGATAATGGTACTGAGTTTCTCAATAAACCCTTGCGTATGTTTTATAATGATATG